GAGTTCTCCACACAAAAAAGTGTTCCACCGTGTTCCACCGAAATGCATGGTGGGAATACGAAAAATGGGACGCCCCCTACAGCTGGATCTAAAAAAACTTGTACCAAACTTTTGTTACCAACAAGTCGTCGCGTATTTTATTATCAATTCTCAACAAAGATACTAGATATAAAAACAAACTGGAATAGACACCCAGACAGTGACATCGGTGAATATATATTCTCCTTGGTGGCAGTAGAAATCGTTGCTATTATCCAAATAATACACAAAACAATTAAAGCATAATCATGAATCAGTAAAGAATAAAACAACAATACAGCGCAGAATCGCATGGCCGGACGCACTCTTAGTGAAAAAGTTTTCCTCCATTTAGTGGAAAAGGAAGGGCGCCTTTTGCGTCTGGATATACTGAGCAACAGAAGGGCGCCCTGTACGTTGGGCACGAAGTATAGGAAACTTGCATGGTTAAAAAGAAGGGCGCCACCTACGTTGGGCACGACTTCCGCCTCATTTTTACAACGCGAGAACTCTATCTTGTATTTCTAGTATCTTTGCTCGAACTGCATGTTTACAATTTATACCCACTATCACGTGACCAACCTAGCGGAATCGGTCTATTGAACAAAAAAATGGTTTCATTCATCGTTTAGCTCTTACTTACAATACGTTGTTACATGAAGGTCCTACTATCGATATATTCCTTCAAAGCCGAAGTGCATTTAAAACCAGTTTATATTTTGCATACATTTACAGTACTTGACTGATCTGCCTGGGCTAGGGGCTGGGGAAGAGTTTTTTGTTTTGATTTTTGTTGTTGTTGTGACTTGTGAGCCTGTTTATATTTTTTGTGCATTTTTCTAAATATCGATTATATATTTATCTGTAGGCCTATGTAAACAAATTTTAAGGCATCCTGTTATTGGCATGATTGCTGTTGGATGTGGTTTTTGAAATAATGAAAGAAATAGAGAAAGAAATCAAGAAAGATCGCATTAAAACACTGGTCATCTGTGATTAAACCACAGATCAAAAATAGACAGCTGTGGTAACACTTATGTGAATGTTCCTAGTATTTTCCCCAGTCTATAGACACACGTAATTGATTTTCCAGGAGTGTATTAGTTTTTTATTATTATTATTATTGTATACTTATATAGCGCATATCAAACTTCTCTATGCACTGAACATTATTACCCCAGATCACTGGATCAAGCATATATGGAACACACACTCAGGCCCCATAGGGGAATTCCATAATGTTGCAGCTGTATTCAGCGCAGGCTGTGTTTGAACCTACCAGGTACCCACTTTTACTCCTGGGTGGAGAGAGCCAACCGTAGATAAAGTGCCTGTCTCTTATAGATAAAGTGCCTTGCCCAAGGACACAAGCGACTTGCACAGCGAGAGTTTTGAACCCCCGACCTCGAGGTTGGGAGTCCAAACCACAACCGATGCGCCAACCACTTCTACGAAGTTGCCTACGGTATATTCTGTACGTTTGAACAAAATTGAATTCTAGCTTACAACCAAGGCTCTAGTTGGCCCTTGGTTCAAAACCCCTTTCAGCAAATTCGTAGAACCACCGCTGCCTGCGGGATCTGCGAGTGCAAAAAAGGTTGGAAACCACTACTAAACTGTTGTGAGGATTGAAGGAAAGATTTTATCGGCTGAAGGCTGTGATGAACATAAAATAAAAGTAAATTAATTTTTAATTTGGTATTGGTGTGTGTGCTAATATATAAAATGAGTGGTGAGTTTGCTAAAAAAAAAAAGGTATAAGAATATATCAACTTTTAATGAGACAGTGACACATTAAAACAATTTATTTTTGCTGGATCAGATTTTGTTACTATAGAAATTCTTAAATTTATTACAAGCCATGTGTCTATTAAGTAGCGACAGATATGCATCTGCAGGAAGACGCTTTGGTGCAATGATCTCCATTTAGGTTCTGAACCTTGTTGTCGAAGGTTCAAACCTCCGAGGGGCTCACTTGCATACCAACCAATTGGGAGGGGGGGGGGTGCAACAGCCACTTCAAGAAATGAGACACTTGAGCTGCCTATTTTACTGAAAATTATGGACTTGAACTACCAGTTACACGAATTCGCACTGTGCTCTAAAAGTCCTCGAAAATATACCCCTAAATACGTCACCTTCTCGTATAGAAATATTTGAAAGTGATCCCCCGAGTTCGAACCACACACTGACTATTATCGGCCAACCATGCTTGTTACCCCAGCTTGCACTGTGCCCTATGCACGAGTATTTCTCGGCTTATAATTAAATACTTTGTGGCTGCCTCTCATCAATATTGAGGGTAACATCAGGCCTGATATATCATGATAAAAAAGGGGGTATTTTCATGTTCTCACAGTACATTTAATTTAAAGTGATAAAGTTACTAAAGTATACAAGCTATTCAAATGTTCAGTATGCCATGGGTCTAAAGAGTAGGGACAGATGCATCTGTTGAAAAAGGGTATTTTCATTTTGACATTAAATTGAAAGTGATTAACTTACCAAAGTATACAAATTTAAGGCTATTCAAATATTTAATAGTTGTTTTTATTAACTCAGCATGGACATGTGTATAGAGAAAGTATCATTATTTATCTCTAATCAAATTGAAAATGTTAATTAAAGTATGGATTCTGGACCCTACAGGATGTTATTGCTATAAATAGATATATTATTTCCTGCTAGCACAGTACCTGTTGGTCTTTTATCATGGGCTTGAGAGGAGGAGCGGTGTAGCTCAGTTGACTAAACTGTTAGTAGGCACTGTGTTTGTTCAAGCGATCGAGGTTGAGGTTCGGGATCGCGATAGAGTTGTAGTGGATGGTGGACCCTAGGGATTTTTGCATATTTTCCCTTGCCTGTTCTTGTAATAATTAATTTTAGTGAAATAAAAATTTGAAATAAAATTTCTGTTGTTTATTATATACTGTATATACTTTTTGTAATTATCTATTTATTAATTCATTATTATTAATATTATTATTGCTATTATTGTTTATTTATTTTATTTATTCAACCATTTATGTCTTTGCTATATATATTGAAAATTGTTATGTTATTTGAAAATAAGCAAGTTATTTTCAAAATTGATTTTTCATGGTGATTGTTTTTTAGCATTTTTCATTGGACAATATTCCTATAAAATTCCTCTAATGGGTAGATGGCCAATCTGAGTTATAGCAATCATACTCTGCTAAAGCTACCCCTGTCCACCATTTCATTTTTTTTTTTTCAAATATTGTATTTTATTGTCATTGTAATTCTAAATGTTGATTGAATAGATAAATAAATGAATGAAAGGATGTGCTATATCTCCACTACTGTTTTACAAATACTATAGTACAAAAAAAATTAACTCTAAAATTGGCATTTTTTGCCACTTTTAGGTTCCATAGTTAGCCATGGCTGAATTGTCTGGACCTCAATCCGTAAAAAATTCTTCCCTTATCTATTTCAAATTTCTAGATCCGCCACGCTACTGATCATAAATTCTGCTTAATGTCAACAAAAGTAGGGAGATGTTCTTTCATTTTTGAATGTCAAATAATGTAGGGCTTGATCCTATGTCTATTCATGATCAAACAATTAGAACAAATGTTGTGAGTATTTTGGAAACAGGATATAAAAGGGAAAATAACACACAAATCTTTTGCTGTTTAGAACAAATAGAAGGCTATATGTCTGTTGAACTTTATGTGGACCATGCATGACTACAGTATAGTTCTTTTTCAAATGCTTATTCATAGATATCTTTTGTAATACTGTTTGATATACAGTACATGGCATTATTTATATAACAAATGAATTGGAAAATTTCAGGAAGAATAACAAAGTTTTTTGCAACTTTAAACTACTGTGTGATCCATAGCACAGCTGGGCAAAGGTTGAGGTCCGGGATTGCAACAGAGTGGTAGTGATTAGTGACTCTCAAGTTTTTTGCATACTTTTCTTTGCCTGTTATTATAATGGTTATTTTCAGTGTGCTAAAGTATATTTTAATAAAAATACAAAATAAATTTTTATTGTCCATTATATACTACTCTGGGGTGAATGCAGGGGGCAGGGGAAGGGGGTGCAGACGTTGCAATTGCACCTCCCTAAATTGTATTTAAGAAAAATAATTGTCGAAATGTAATGTAGATATAAATTACGGGTAAGGTTTTTAATGTATGAGAGTGCAATTTCCGGGGTCCATATTCTCAAAATCTTCTCGTCAGCCCAACCATGTTGGGGCTGAGGTTGTGTTGACTCTCACGCACCCCCTACTGCCAAATCCTGCATCTGCCCCAGCTACTGTATTTATTTTTTTGTAATTATCTATTTATTAATTCACTAGTACTAATATTATTATTACCATTATTTATTTATTTATTCAATCATTGACTGCTATACTAGTATTGAAAATTATTTGCTACTTGAGAAGGAGCAAGTTATTTTCAAAATTAAATTTCATGGTGATTGTTTTTTGGCATTTTTCAGGGGACAAATATTCCTATATAAAGCCACAGCGTTCCATCTCAGACCTATTAATATTACCGCAAAATTACTGTTACAGTGTATTCCGCCGTGTGTCTGAAATGAAAGCAGGTCACATTTTATTTTTTTAAATTTTATTTCCAACTCCAGAATAATTGTTAGTATGATCGTGTTTATAAAACCCTATATCATACAGCCCGCCTACAATCTTTGGCTGTAAAGCTCCTTGCTACAGCCCAGCGGCGAAAATCTGTACAAAATTATAATAAAAGCAGTGTTAAATGAAAAATTTAGATTGGCCCTCTGAAATATAGGGGAAAATTTTCCTTTATGATTTACATTAATTGGAAGTTAATTTTTTTTTAATCCTTGTTAATTATAAATTTAGTTTCATTTTTCATGTTCATTATTACAACACAGTCCCAAATTTAAATGGTTGGTGGTTTTTTTTTTCCCAGAAGTTATCACAACACTTGCTGCATTTAGCTTAATTTGTCTTTCAGTTTGGTCAGTGAAGCATGACTATTTTACTGCTTAAGGAACTTGTTGCATATATTCCGCTGGCTTCACCTTCTGTTGTTTTGTTATTCTGATGATAGTCATCCTTTTCCATTAAACAGGTAGGTGTGGAGATGTACTGTAGAAGTACAGTAGGCTACAGAATTATATATATATAGG